AGCTCACTGACAGCTGTTCAGGGAGGCCTGAGGCTGCGACTCATCGCCGGGCAGAACCACAACCACATCCTGCAGGATTCAGATCTCATGCATGCTCACAGAGGAAAACGCTACGGCGAAGTCAAACACAGACGGCCATGACAAAGACGACTATTTACTCAATCTGTCCATGTATGTTAACAGACCTATAGCAGGGGCCCCTTTGAGAGCTAATTCTAGTCAAATTGGACAAGACAGATATACCCAGGGCTTCAATTTAAGATTTCTTTCTTTTGCAACACAACACTGTACAGTAAACACATTGATGACAGTAATACTAGTGGTGGTAAAACTTGAGTTACAGTATAATGATTATTTTGACATAGATCTGGATTAAAATGTCAGAGCGTTTATTTTTATCCCAACAGAAATGAAAGACTCCTTTAACTGTGCATCTGTTGATCGTTATGTTACATAACACATGGAGTTAAATGGGAAAACATACCAGCACCGGCTGTGAGTAATAGCTGGTTTATTGCCTCTCAAAATAATTCAAAATGAGGGGTAGAATAGCAAGAGCATAAATTGCAAATAAAATCTGATGGTTGGAGTGATTTCAGGAAATTTGTCAAGATACTCAAAGAAAAGATATGAAATTAGGCAGAGACATAAATAAACGATCTGTGTTTTTGATGAAGATAAGACCATTGACACACCTTTACACTTGGCTCACTGAAGAGGAAAAGTAACTCCTGGAGTATTAAAACTACAGATGTGGCTCCATAGATAACTAAGGATTAAATGTTGCCACCCTCACCCATCCACACCAGAATTTCATGTCAGTTTGTTGAACATTTTTGTTATTGTAGGCCCAAAATGCCAGCCATATGTCGGATGTGGGGCTGGGTTTATACTGATCCATTTTGAGTGTCTTAACTACTTTGAGTGTTGGGCACGATTTCAGCCTAATTCTGTATCTTTCCAAACCAGTGAACAGGGGATCACCTGACCATGGCCCAAACAGCTGCTCCTGAGGGGTTGGATGAATTTCTGGCATGTTAGAATTTCCCTTTAGCACAGTGAAAGGAAGTGGGGCGATTTTTTTGTGATCATGCCAGTACAGCAGTCAGCATTCAAAAGCATGGTGGTAATACACCAAAGGATGTGGACAATTAAAATTTAGCGTATTTTTCGCACTATAAGGCGCACTTAAAATCCTTTTGGCTTGTCGGAGCACTGCAGCTACCGTAGCCTTATGGAGTTATTGAATAAGTTAATTAAAGTTTGACTTATCTGACTGTTTTGTTTGGCTTAATGCGCTTTATAATCCGGTGTGCTTTATGTATGAAAATAGACGCGAATAGACGCATTCATTGATGGTGTGCCTTGTAATCAGGTGCGCCTTATAGTGCAAAAAATACGGTACATAAATATTGGACCTGTCATTTCAAACATGTGATTGATATAAACACATTTTTTAATGCCTGAAGACTCATCAATAAAGTTGAAGACAAGGAGCTCAAAGACATGATCCATATTACCTTAGGTGGCCCAAGCTACCTTCTAGGACTCTGAAAAGACTAGATTTATTAGAGATCACTGGAGACCACTGGACATCAGTGAGTAACAACAAGTCACTGATGACAAATGGCTGATGCACTGTTTGCTTTAGGCGTGTTAAAAACAGAAGACATTTCGCTGAACTATGTGCTAGCTAGTTTCCTGGAGTTGCAAAGCAATGGGTGGAAACAGACAAGGTCACCAGCATAGACATAGATGACGCTTGTAATATTGTAATTTACATTTATGAGTTAAGTCACATTTTCTGACTTCATATTTTGTTGTAGAAGTTTTCAAAGGAAGCTTTATTGACAGCTATCAAAGCTCTGTCCTTCTTTTATATTCATAACATGGGCATACTGTATAGTGTGATCATCAATATGTGAGTGTGCTCTGTTGAATCTGTAAACATTTAGATGATTTCAGGTTGCTTGTTTGTTCTGCAGTTGTTGTATTTACATATGTCTAAACAAGCAGTGCTCATGAGGAAATGCCCTGTCTATCTTAACAGGTGCAAAAATCCTCATGCATAACCAGAGAGTACAGCAATAAGATACTATCCGGCAAAATCATCCTGATAAGCAAAAGTATTTATGTATGCACCACTAAAAGTTCCATTGCAGAGCTGGAAGTCAGTTCTGAGGAATCCCTGCCTGTCCAAACACTTGTAGATTTAAAATCCATCTTAAGTGACGGCTGCTTCCTGTCAGGACCCAAACTGTGACACCAGCAGGTCACATGGTTTGACCTGCAGGCTGTTGTGTACATGGTGAAGATGAGCCACACCCAAGTCCTTGAGAAATGCATCCAGTGTTTTCCTGGAATTGCCTGGGTGGATTTTCGGAAAGGCGGGAGATTTGGCAACCACGAGAAAAAAATCAACAATTGCATAATGGAAGTCTCAAAGTTTCAAAGCTTTAATTAAAAGTTTAAACACTGATTTTTCTCTTTGAGCTTAAGTACTAAAGTAAAACAATGAAAACGACTTGTATGCAAAGTGTTTGTCATCCTTGAAGTAAAGGCAAAGGGCCTCTAATACTGAATGTAAATGGGAGACTGAAGTCATCAAACTCAGAATGATTACTTAGATCAATAAAACGACCCACTTTAAAAAAGCTTTGCTGGCAAACTTGATCTGTCAATACAGATGACAGGAATGAGGAATGAGTCCAAGGCATCAAGGACATGGGAGGACACGCACAGTCTATCTAAAAAAAAAGAAAAAACACGAGCACATACAGCAGCAGCTCTGGAGGCCTGTTTTTAAATCCACCATGTAGCAGCTTCAGGGACAGGTGGAACACTTCACATAAACAGAAACACGTCAGGCTGGATTTTCTTCATTACTGTGGGGCTGAGAGCAGCATTTCCACACAGGAAGAGAGAATTTAAACCTCTTGAGATGTGAATGTGTCTCAGGATGTAAGGTAAAGAGTGCATTGTGCAGGAACCACTGTTTGCATACCTCACTTGACTTCAGTATCAAAAAGTGACCTTGTGGATTGTTTAGAGGTTAAAAAAAAAAAAAAAACATTCAAAGTTCACCATACTTGCTTTGTTACTTCTCTGAAGCCAGAGGTGACTTTATTTGGACAAAAGGATGGATCCAAAGAGGAGTTACGAGTCAGCAAATTAAAGCCAAACAGTCAGCAGCTGTGGCTTATATATTAACTGCTGAATGAGCTGTATACCATCTTCCTTTGCAGAGTGAGATTCCATTCATGATGACGGCTGAACAGAGTTGTTTATTGCATCTGTGGTGATAGTGGGGGGTAAACAGTACATACCAGATGACTCAAAATAACCTGTCTACTCATCACCTCAGTCCAGTGTCTTTGCTTCCAGCTATACAACTGCAGTATAGCTACTACTAAGCATACACTTATCTATTATATGCTATGAAAATTGTAGAGTTATGCTGGGTGAAAAGACTGGGGCATAGATTTTTGGGACAGTTTGTTAGCATAACACAGTTTACATCAAGACAGAGTATTTGTGTTATACCAAGGTGAAAAATCTCTAAAAGGCCCCAACTCCACTTACACTGCTGAGAGGTTCAGTTTGATGACAGAGTTATAAAATGACACATAGCACCTAGCATGTCATCTAGCGGTGGATAGAGTTGGAAATTTAGATATGGGGCTTTGTAGGGGTCACCTTACCTTTGAAGTCAGACCATCATTTTGTTTGTGTTTGCAAAGAATCATGGGATACGTTGGGCTGCAAGGGATTCAAATGATGCAGCCTTTACAGTCTAAAAAAAGTAGGACACCTTGAAGGAACCTTCAGACTGGGACAGCCTTGGGAGTACCACTGTGACACATTTGGTCTGCTAGTACAGCCTCTGAAGGCTTCAGCCCCTGGATCAGGACACAGCTACAGTGTTGCCTTTTCCCCAACCCTCTGAGCAGTTTTTGGTCTAAAAGAGGTCTAAGAGACGTCTAAATGTAGCCTAGATGACTGGTGTAAAATCAGGCAACCACAGGTCTAAAAATGAGAGTTTTTTTAGACGTCTACATTTAGACCAAGTTTAGACTAAATCTAAATCTCGGCTATATCTATACTACACTGTATATTGCTAAACGGCCATCAATTATTTAAGTTAAGTATTTGGAGATCAGTTATACGACTCACAGTTGCTTTTTGAAATAAATAGTTATTGAATAATGGGTTAAAGTGCAACATCTAAATTCCATCTAAAAATATACAGAATCTAGATGGTTGGAAATAGGTCCAAAAAAAAACTAGACGTCTAGTAGCCGTCTCAATGCTCAATGTGAAAATTTTAATAAATTTAATGATAATTTATGTTACTGTGGATGTTTTGGGCCACAATGATCATGAGGGGAAATGTGATATCATAACAGCCCTGCTTCAAAGGTCAGATGTGTTATCTATACAGCGCTTTCTTTCAGATGGGGTTGCAACAATCCAGAGAGGGATCATAAGGGTGCAGAAAGTCTATGATAAAACACAACTTTTGCAAAAACCCAGTGTGACCTTTATCAGGACTTTTGATTTTAGTCGCAGGTAAATAAGGTTGTCCAGTCCTGTTTTTGTCATTTGGAAATATTGCAGTGGAGAAGTCTATAACATCAGCTTAAGATGCAGAAAAAACAGTTCATGCACTAATTTCCCTACATGCCTTGACTGCTACAAACCACTAAACACCTGCCTGGACCAAAAACCAATTCACCAACAGATGAAATATTGTTATGACTATTGTGCTATGATGAAAAAATGCAGGAAAATTCATGAGTCAAGCATTTGAAAATGTGTTTAGTTTCTGTGACATATTTAAAGACTTCAGGCTGTTATGTAACACAGCTGCACTGTTAGATGCTTGCAGTCTGAACACAGAGTAAGAATATTTCATCATTACCCTGGATCAGAGACAGTACGTCAAGTATTATTCATCATGACTTCATTTTATTTAACATGTTTGCTTTTTTTTGCTGCAGAAAGACCCGAGTTTCCAGACTTGTCAACACCCAGTCCTGCAGTTACTATCTGACCTCCAGCTAAACCACTCTGCTCCTCCACACCCTCCTGAGTAAACCCAGTTTAAGCTCAAGTTCCGGAGGACAATTCCATTAACATCCGCCTCATGTTACTCCCAACACGAGACCACCCAACATGGCTAATCTGAGGAGGCAGACATGTCGTCTGATTAATGTCGGCGCAGGTTTACTTTCTCAGCTTTGTCTCTCGGTGCTGAGCCCGTTCCTGTGAGCGTCCATTCGCACAGAGCTCACACAGGCCGGCCTTCCTCCTGAGGTAATTATGACCACAGCTTGCATGGAGGCATATCATTAGCAGTAATTGCACACAGCATCCCTCTGCCATGTGCCTCCCTGTTTTTTTTTGTCCCAGATTTAGACTGCACTGAACCATGAAGGAGCAGAGTTTCTGGGTGTTATACAGGGAACACGAACATCAGTCCTACGTTAAGTCCAGGAAATACAGGGCTTACCAAGAAGATGAGTGTTTGTTGTGTAAGCATGTGTGTGTGTAAGTGCGTGTGTGTTTTCATATCAACAGTGGGACAGTTGTTCTATCTCTTGTAGCTGTTGAACCAGTTTGTGCATGTTGAAGTGATGAATGTTGATTTCTTAAAAAGCTATCAGCTTGTTTCATCTGCAAACTGATTTCTGAGAAACGATTGCCACCACATTCCTCATATTACAAATGAAGCCCTGTCATTACATAACATCTTTGGTCTTTGTTGTGTTCTCACAGATGTGAGTGTTTGCGCTGTAAAAGAAGTGTGCACTGAAGTATGAAGGGGCTTAATTAGAAACACTGCGAACATTTTGATGGTATCTAAACCTTAATCAGAAAGGCATTGACAATAGTTTGTATTGGGGAAACACATAGGAAGAAGTACATACAAGGTTTTAAAGGATAAATGTTACACTGAAAAGAATCAAATCATGATATTATAATGGTTAGGTTGTGATATAAAATTAATAGAAGTAATGCATTTACAATAAGAAGTGGTTGGTTTATAAAGATGAGGTCAATGGTTAACCCTGTATCTTATTTTGAAGAGGAATAAACTAAGTCTCTGGTGCTTTAAGTTGATACATGGCTTATTTGTATTAGGGTGTCCATATTCTGATTTCTCAAAAAGAGGACACGACTACACAGGGGCGGAGTCACGGAGTAACACAAAGTTAATTTTGAGTGTTTTACGGGTCAGATTGAATGTCTTTTACGCGCTTCTAACTCAGTAAGTCCACGTGACACAAAATCGAAACTTATGTCCAAAACTGTGGACATTTGAAGGATTTTATAAACTTCCCCAGACAAAGCTGGACAGCCCCCCAAGATAGAGGACATGTCTGGGTAAAAGAGGACGTATGGTCACCCTAAATTATATAAAATTTATAACTTTGTTCTTTTTAACTAACTTGTATTTTTCTATCTTACTTGATTCTTGTCAATTTATTCCTTTTTCTCTTATGACTTTAAAACTGTGAGTTTTGTCTGGAAATGTTTTTCTTAATCTTCTCTAAATTAGCACCAATCCTCTGTCATAAAGGACACATTTTATTTCAGTAATATCTACTTTTCTCCCTTTTGCTCTTTTTCCTTCTTTGGGAAGATTGACTGTCCTTTAAATAATATCATTCTCATATTTTTTGTGCTTGTGTTTACTATGATTGTATGGTTTATATCTCCTCTGCTGTTGTAATGAAAGTGAATAACATAATATAATTATCATTTATTTTTCTTTGTCGGCCAAAACACATCATAAAAGTCCAAGATGTCCACAGTAACAACATATGATCACATTTCATATGTTCCACTTCATATGCCAGTAATTGCTCTCATTAGTATTTATCACATATAATAATGGTGACTGGCAGCAAATTGGGGAAGAGAGCTACATTTATGTTGAGCAGGGGGTACAGAGGAGCAGCTGATCAGAGACTGATGATATAAAAGTTTGTTTGATCCTGATGCCCGATGTTCCTTTACAGATCAATAATATTACAAAACGGAAAAGCTTTTCAAAACTCAACAACCAAAGTAGTGTAATCTCTTGAAAACTCTGCGAACTTCTTTCTTTCAGAACACATAACACAGAACAGATTTCACAAGACACAGTGGTTAAAAATTCAATCAGTTGGGAATGAGAAGCTGGTGCTCTGTTACTCCATGTGATTGTTGCCGTGGATACAGCCAGCAGAGTGGGCAGTCCTCACTGTGACCCAGGCCACATGAGTGTACACACTGCCAGCCCAGTGCGGCCAAATGTATCCTGGACCACCACCTCTCAATCTGGCCTGAGTGATTGGATCTCTGAGTCCTGGGTGTGTTTAAACCTGCAGATAACGCTGTATACTTGTGATCCAACCACCGACACCACATGATTATAACAGTGTAAATAGAGTATGCATCATTTAACATGTTTCCTAACCTTCTGAACAACTAAAATATTCCAATATGTGCAGAAGTTTTATGAAAACCCAGGAGACTAGGTTTTTAGATGTATTTTTCTGTGCAACCTGCAGAATTCATCGCCATCACATTTTTGTTGTTTTGCATGTTGCATGCAAAACATGCAACAAAGCAGTGCACCAACCTTGAAAGACCGCAGCATCTGTACACTTATATTTGCAATACATTCATGTGTGGAATAGAGTATTTGCATGCACACAGATTGGGAAATATCCACATATGGATCAATTATAAAGGAATCAATCTATTAAATTCAGTTGTGTGAATGCCAAAATGCTGTTTGTGAATAAACTGCAGCAGACGTTTCCCCTGCCGTATCCAAAGACTCCACAGTGTGAGGGGATGTTGGCTTCACTTCATAAAAACTGCCCCCAGCAGGACAGACCTCCACTCTGTGGTCACTGCTGTGCCTGCAGCTCTCCCTGCAAACACTCACTGCCTTTGTTTCACACTAAAGTTTGCATGAGTGTTTATTTCTGTGTCTCCACAGCAAGCCTCTTCCCCCCTCCTCAGCCTCACCTGCACAGAGCGACAGATCAAAACTAAGCGACAGTCACTGAGCCAAACAGCCTCAGATGGCGACGACTTGCCTGAGGGGAGAGACAGATTTAATACAAACAAGAAAAACCAACAGAAGCTGCAGCTGTAACAGAGACGGAGGAAGAACCAGATGGGTTTATCTAAACTGTAAATCTCTGTACTCTTTCCACGAGGCTGATACTGACCTTTATATGTGAAGGAGGTCCTTTCACACACTGAAAGCTGAGTGTACCTAAATGCTCTTTGAAGGTTAGAACTCAGCTGGGCTTTACGTGTTTAAGCGTAGGCACTGCATTGAAGTCCTTGCTTTTTTTTCATGCAGCAAACTCAAAAATGGTAGCTCTCTATCTGAAGATCAGACCAGAGACTCATTCCACTCCTGCTTTTTTGCTTACTGTGAATCATATTGTAGGGGCAGAATCCATTCAACATCACCACACATGGACCATTTCCCTTTTCCATAGGACTAAGGGCCTGTGTCCACTGATGTATTTCTTTACTCAGGAAATGCTCCTTTTTGTAGACTAACTTCACTTGTTTGTCAAGGTACAATTTCCAAGTGTATAGCTGCTAATGACAAAACACAATATTGATAATTACCTTCTTGAGTTTCTTGAAGTCCATTCGCCCAGAGCTAATATGGGGCATATCCATACCTGCCAACATTTGGGTTATAAAATCTGGGAGATTTTTGCGGCGCGCGTCGAGCAGTTTTGGGGTTACCTTGTATGGTGGATATGAGCTAATTATGAGAGTATTTGTAATTAGATTGCTTATCCAAACAAGTATAAGTGAAGCTGCACACTTTTTTGTTTTGTTTTCACAATAACAAATGGTAATAAAAAAATAATAGCCATGATATAAGTAAAAGTATTAATCCAGTGTCAGCAGGCTCAGCAGAAACACAGGATAATCTTTGGTTGTCTGGAAACAACTTTGGACGGATATAGTGATCCGATTCATGAATGAACGTGGACCATCAAACTACGAGAGATTCCCGGGAGAAATGACAATACACAAGGTGGACGGTAGATAGGTCTGAAATATGGTAGAGTTGTGGGAAAAACAGGAGTGTTGACAGGTATCAGCATATCAAGCATTTTGTAACTGACGATCAGCACAAAGGAATGCGGAGATGGCACAGAACAACCTCCAATAGCCCAGTATCAGTGAGTGCCGAGAAATACTCTCAAATGGGGTCATCACAAAAAATGCTGTTAGTGGAAACAGGCCCTTGACGCCCAGTTTCTCATATATTTTTGTACTGTTATGCTTTAAGCACTAAGGAACTGACAAATCACTGTCCAGACACTGCTTCACTACTGACAAGAAACAAATAAGACAGTGGGTGGTTAAGGAGTGACATATTTCCTCATAGATACAACATATTACATAACCTTTGTGTCATGGAAAGCAGCAGACGAATAATACTTTCCCCAAGAACTGTTGAAATTTCTGTTTAGCAGCTACAGTATCACTAAGTAACCATATTTCTAAATTTCTGGAGTTACTCTTTTTTGTTGAACATATTAAAAATTAATCATTTTTTTAGCTAAATTTGTTTTAATGGGACTTAATTCATATGAAACACAAGCACAGAGTTATGAAATGACAGTAGGCGTGGGGGAGGGGAGATCCAGCTGAGCCTTGACAGCAAAAAAGATCCGAACAGGAGACAGGCTGACGAGGGTCACCTCACCTTCACAGGCCGCCTATCCTCTAAGCTGTCCACATGAGTTATTATGCAACAGACATACCTAACCGCTCCTATTTATGACACAGAGGTTACAAATCAGCACGCACAGCATAGCCTCGAACGAGGAAGAGCGTGGATGATGGATGAGGGAGACAGAAAGGAAGGAAAAGGGGGGGTGTGAGTCGTGATACAAACATCTGATACTGATACAAACATCTATGAATTTTTGGTTTGGAATAACATAAGAAAACCAAGCAGCATCCTCTTTATTTGCTGCATAGAAACCTGGTACAGAGCCATGAGCGTGTGTTACAGGACAACAGCAAACATGTGACCACAGAGAAATCAGAGGAGAGCTGGTTGAGTCACAACATGAAGGAGAGCAGAGGTTACAGTGATAGTTCAGCCTGTGATAATGGGAGGATTGTGCCACTCTCACACCTACTCTACGGTTACAGTTTGGACCTTACTCAGGGTATCTAATGTTCTGTCCATGATTTGATGGTAGTAGAAGTGTGTTTTCATTTACCTTGGAAGTTGGATAAAGTTGAAAACAAAGTCTGAAACAAGTCCCTGTTGTTGTTAGCATTGTTGGCTACAAGGCAATAACATTATAGATTATGGAACAAGCTACCCCTCCAAATCAGACAAGCCCCCTCAATGTCCATTCTTAAAATTCGTCTTAAAACACATTTTTATTTATTGGCTTTTAACCCTGCATGAGACTCGGCTCCTGTTTTAGTGTTTTATGGTTTGTTTTTAAGTTATTTCTTTCTATTGTTTTTAAATTAGTTTTAAAAACATTAAAACTACATTTTACTTTTTAATATCTGCTTTTATTTTATCCATTGTTATCATTGTTTTTTATTTTTTTTTTATGTCTGCGTTGTTTTGTCTATTTATGTACAACACTTTGTTCAGCTGTGGTTGTTTTAAAGTGCTTTACGAATAAAGTTGAGTTGAGTATATTAGTATGTGCGTGAATGTAACAAAATAAATAAAATGTGCACGATACTATCAATGTGACTGGTTAAATTATGTAAAACAAGACAAAGTCTGGGATTCAAGGGCACCTGAAGTTCCTCTGAGATTTGGAGCAGGAATTCTGGCTTGAGGGGGGTCCTGGGTTAGGTATCCAACGAGAATGTTTTTTAAGTGCTGAATAGCTCTTATCACTATTTATCGTTATTTTTGTTATTATATTTAATAACAAATGTAACGCAACACAAGTGACAGTATTTCACGCCACTAAATCCTACATTGCCCATGATGCAACTGGATAGAATGTTAAGCTTAGTGAATTTAAGTGAATTTTAATCAGTCAGCCAATGTCTGCCAATAAATTATCGTTGCAGGTTGTGTATCATTATAGAGAGGTGTACAATCTTCGTTGACGAGCATGGTGTACCTAATAAAGTGGCCGGTGAGTGTATGTTTACAATGGTCAAACTTATATGACATTAAAGCAGAAAACTTTTTGTCCAATAGGAATGAACTCTAACTTTTATGGTTAATACTTGTTGGTCCATTGGTACTTTGCTTAAAGTAATGTCAGCTTAGAAATTAGCTAACATGTTTCCTCTTATGTCTAGTTTTATGATTGTCTTTAAGTTCCTGGTGTTGCATGAATCAATAAAACAATAACATTGTTAGATTTTTAACTTCTCTATTTTAGAGACTTTTGTTAAATCAATAAACTTCTCTCTTCAGATGTTAAGGGCTAATCTGACAAAGTGACTCATTCACAGCAGCACATTATTGCTTTATATTTTATTTTATGTACAGTACATGTAAAAAAAGGAAAACAAAAAAAGTAGCCAATAACATTGACCAACGTGGGCAACAGTAGATCGCCATGTTGCTCACACACAGGAAAATCCTGACGACCATTTCCTCTGCAGGCATACGTACATTTAGACTCTCCCACTACTCGGTGTGTAAGGCTGCATGGAAAGTAGCCAAGCTTGACAGCAAACAGTCAAACCAAAGATTATCACAGCAGGAGTGTGTTACCTGCCTCCCCTTATAAACACACGCCTCTCATTGAGCGCGCTGAACTTTGTGTTCCCAAACAGGCAGAGAGGAGACGCCTGGTTGGTTGTGAGCAATCTTCAGTGAGTTTTTAATACGGACCTCTATGTGGTCTCTTAGCTTCACTGCCCCTCCACCCTCTATTCTAACAGTGCTGCTTTCAACAGAAAGATCACTAAAGGTCAGCGTTACGGTCTGCTTCAGCCGGATGACTCAATATCTGCAGCCTGCGAGTGGCAGCGAGCTTCTGTTCAGCACACTCAGCCGCTGAATTCACAGTATTCTTACAGCATGTTGAAATTTCATCTTCTCCCAATGTCACCAATAAAGCTTTGACTGAAAATGCATAAGAGGCTTTGACACATCTGTTCACCCATGTTTCTCTGGTGGACATTTAAAAGGGATATTTTTAAACCTGGGCCCTCTTTTGACATATTTTGAGGTTGAAATGATGAATTGGAGTCAGTTCACTGGAGGTTTCAGCCTGCTGTACTGAAACAGAATTGGAAAGGCTGCAATGGGAAAAATGTGCCTGATCGAACTACATTACCCATAAGGTCTCATTTTTTTGCCACTACATTTTAATAAGGGTCCCTACAGAGACAGACCTGTTTGTTAAAGTGTGACAAACTTTGAGACCACAAGCACCCTAACTCTGCTTTAAAGCAACCAAACCCCATTAACAAAAACACTCATTTTACTGTCCACAATACAGACTATCCGTGCCACTTCTTACTGTTGCTTTTTCTGTCTACTTGGTTTTCTTTTTGCACAAATTTTGGTTTGAAATGTTACCTCACACAAACACAACAAAACAGCACAAAAAAACCTGGCTAGATGAGGCTGCATTTGATGAGCAGTTCTGAGGTTCTTCAATTTAAAATCCCAGTATTTATCAGTGGGGTTTGGTGCCTTTGAGGAGCATGATTCAGCAGTAACTTTTTTGTTTAAAGAGGAAGTATACAGTCATCCATCTCTGTGGAAGATCTTAGAAAAACAGCCTTAGCCTTAGATAAATACAAGAACTCTGAGTGGGTTTGATCAGGCAAATTTCCCTGCAAGGATTATAATACAGCCAATTCTTCCTGTTTCATTGTTGCCGCTTGACGTTATCTTTAGGTGCAATTCCTAAACTTCAGAAACCCCTAACTATGCAAAAAACATCTGGGTCCAGGTTTAAAAAGTGCTAAATTCTCCTTTAAAACCTGAATATTTGTAGTGAGAGCGAGAGAGACAGAAACACACCATGTCAATGCAAGTGTTCAGTGTACACAACCATCCGTGTCTGGTGTCCCCGATATCGTACAATTATTTAAAGGAAAAAAAAAAAAAAGACTTTTTCTTTTCTTTTTTTTTTTGTTGTATCTCCAAGGCCATAGATAGTCAACCACAAAGACTTCTGAACTCCCCTGCTGCCTGTTAGGGCTGTAATCTCACAATAGTGTTTCGGACAGGGAGTTTACAGCAGGCCACCAAGGTACAGATAAAGTGCTTTTTTCTCAAACGTGACGTTTTAAATAAGTAAAGTGATGTAAAAAAAAAAAAAACGATTCTCAGAGGAAAAACTAGGATGGGAAAGTTGGCTGACATAGAGACACTCCTAGAGAATGAAAAGGAAGAGAGAGACACATGATGATGATGATTCTGGAGAGGAATAGAGTTCAGTATAAATACATCCACAGATCCAACAGAAGGCTACAAGAATGGAAACACCGATAGCTAGAGGAGCTGGAACAGTCAGATGGAGCCGTTCACAGTTTCAGAAGTAAGAGGGTTCAGGGTAAGACTTTTTAAAACCTCTGTGAAATGTCTATGTCCAGGGGAAGATGCCGCTGGCTTCCTGTAGCTGGGTGACCTCACATCAGTTGCGGCAAGGACTGTGAGAGAGACAGCAGCAGACTGGGAGGTTTTTGTAAGATTGTAGTAGACTGGTGGTTCATACCAAACCATAACAGATAATAATAAATACATTTGGGTCCTTGTAGTGTCGGCTCTGTTGAAATATGAATTCATCTAAAAAATAAAAAAAAGAGGAATAGTTTAGCAGACCATCAGAAGCCTGGCCTTATATTTTTTTGCTCCCTTGTACAGTCTAAACAACACTCCACTGTGGCGGCCATTTTTCAACCAGCCTTGTGGAAGAAAAAAAAAAAAAAAAAAACGGCATATAAATTGTAGCCGTGGCAACCTCACGTTCTCCCTCCCGGGTCTTGATGACAGAGTCTGAGAATTCAGAAAAAAAAGCAGTCCTCCAGTCGGTCCTCAGCTCCTGAACAAGAGAAGAAGAAGAAAAAAAAAGCACTGAGTAAAGACAAAGAGCAAACACTGGGGGTCATACATCCGCTGTGGGGACTTTTTAAGGCTCAGCATGTCGTGTTAGTCATCTGGAGATTATGGACACTGTGAAGTGAATGTCAGCTTCTTTCGAGCAAAAACCTCTGTGAAGCTGACAGGGCAGGAAACACGCTTCTTTTACAAAGCTCTGGAAAAAAAGACCAAATATAGGCTGGTCCCTCAATCCCTCACTGCTTTGTATACTCTCAACCACAAGCAACCTCTTCTTGGCGACTGACCCCATTACAGGGTAAACAAAGGAGCTGGGAGCAGCCTGTCTGTCTTACATATCACTCAAAGACAATATTTAACCTCTGAGAGTGAGCTGAGGACCTGCTGCTTGGCTACACTGAGAAAATGCAATCTAAAACCAGAGGAGCACTTGGCATAGACAACCTGCCAGTGAGCTCTTTAGAGTTACTCTGATTATACTTTAACTACGACACCGTTGTTGCATATTTCAGGGTTTTGATGTCAAACACAACCTTCTCCAGTAGATTGCTCTCAACAGCAGCTGTAAAACATGGCTGGCTAAAACATAATCCTTTAGGGGGAAAATTTGGCTGCTTATCTAAAAATACTCAAAGTTTGAAACACTTATGCACTTCTGACATTTTCTAACATTTTTCAGAACAGCCTGCCCCTGAATTTTTCCAGAGTTGCTTATTTACAAATGTTCCTCACTGCTTGACGTCTTCTGTCATCACAAATGCAGCTCGTGCAATATCTAGGGAAATTTTCAGAAGTTCAAACAAGCTTTAGGGTTGTCACTTATTTGCTCTCTGAAGCAGCGTTTTGAAGACTATTAGTAGCGTTGCCATTTTGGAAATTCTGTTTTAACCTAACCCTGAGGAGGTGATCAGTCTTGGTTTTGTAATCATCCTGTTTTTTGGTCTTTTGTAAATAAATTACTCTTTTGTTAAAAAACCCTGAAAGTTTTTCATGTGGCTGTTTGAGAAGTGGGTGAAATGGGTCCACTTTCGTCTTATGTCCTAGTCACCCCTAGATGGGTCAAAACACAGTCTCAGACCAGAGCTGGGTGTTAAGTCTTTGTGTGAATAGCCACAGTGTGCTTGCCTTCCAGTGAGGTCAGCACTGCTACTTACTGTAATCTTCATATCTTAGAAACAAATGTGTGATGAAAAATGGACTCTCTTTAGTGGGAGCCGGAGCTTTCATGGCCCAGGGTGTAAACAAATTTTGGTTCTATATATGGGCTTTTTTGGCTAAGCGTGTACGTGGGTTCTGGTGCTTCTGCAGTCAGCCTCAAGCACTTCTGCATGAGATTCATTCATCAAGACCAGAGGATACCGTTTGGTGTGTGGACACAGCTTCAGATTGTTACACAAGTGTCAGAAAAAAAGAAAAGATGCTTTGAAATCTCCCCTCCTTCAAGCCATCATACTGCATGAAATCAATCAGTAATTTGGACTAGCACAAAACAGGAGTCTCTGTTCTACCACTGCCACAGTTGGCTTATTTTTGGCATTGTGAAACAAATCTATCAGGATCCAAAGTAACCACTGGAAACCAAAAAGTCACATATTTACAAAAACAAACGGATCCAGGGGCAGTGGGACAGAAAGTCCTTTGTTTTGTTGGATCAGTGACTTTATCAATGGAGTCTGGTCACTTTGAAGAGAGATGGATGGTCTGTTCCTTGTTTTTAAAAAGCATCTCCCTCACTGACAAAAAAGATCATTTAGATCACTTCTTTTATATTGTCAGACACTAAGAATAACAATCAGTCTTTGGGATGTTAAAAAAAGCCCTTTTTTGGACATACTATTTGTATGTGCTTCAATCCACTGTGCTTTTGGACTGAGCCCAGGCAAAAAACATACAGAGTTCCCCTTTAAGAATTAACTGTAAACCTATTTTTATGCACTTGCTGCAGGACTTAAAACTGTGAGTTTCTGTCATTTAGCAGTTTTCACAAGCGCTTCCTGTTTACAGTCAGCAGTACAGCCTGTCCCTGCCTTAAAGCTGGTATTAATGTTTGTTTTGCAGATTTGAGTACAGTACCTCCTTTGCGCTTGTAACCGTGGTTGCTTGTTTGGCAGAACCACAAGTGTTTGTTTAAACAAGCAGAAGAACTTTTGGCCGTATTTCCCAAAAATGTGTCATGAACATCATCAGATTAGCCGTACTGAAAGTCTAAGAGAAAGGCTGGGAGGAATGATACTACGACCTTGAGTGATCACAATTATAGCTATCACTATCATTATTCAGTTTGGACAGACTTTCGCAAATCGGGGCGCAAATCAAAAGCACACTAAATGATCATGAAATGAGAAATAAACATATTTAAAATGAAGATGTCTGATTAATTTTTAGCCTTCTAAACTTATTATGGTAAAAATTCTTCACTTTTGTAGCTCTAGCAGTACTATAATAGTACAGTAATATTTCTTATGCCAATCTGCTGCTTATTTCTCCTAAAAGTGACCGAGTGTCATGTGCACACGTTTCTGAAACGGATCTTGGAGGTTTGATCATGTTTTCAGATTGCTCTGGAAGACATTAAACATCACTTAACCTCATTTAAAGTCAAGATGACGGATCTCTTTGTTCACTCAGATGTAATTATACGAGATCCAAACTGAAGTTGAAATGTTAAGTCTTACAGGAACTGATAGTTTCTAAGGACAGAATCAAGTGCATGTGTTACTGTTTCATATGAATGAATCACTTGGCAAGTTACTTATAAGTTTTGTCTCCACATGTTTTAGTGATCAAATAAAGAAAACAGTTATAAAGTGACTGTTGGTGAAATCAAAACATGTAAGAACAGATTTTTTAGGTGTCTATATAAACTGGCACTTGTTTTTTTTTTTACTTACACGCCTGACATGTCCCTGCAAATGAAGTACATTGTGTCTACTCAGTAACCTTGTCATATGTATATGAGTGTAATTATGGTGTGTTATAAATAGGGTGTGGTTCATGTTTGATGATGATGTTGTTGTAGAACAGTATGCTGTTTGATGCAGGCTGTCTAGGTGGGATCCTTGAATGAATATAATTCAAGGATCATTAACTACATTTGTAGTTAATGTGCTTCAGTAATCTCATGACCGCTCACTAAACTAAAATGTTCATTCATTGTACAAACATGTAATGTGTAGAAGCGTGCACCCTCTGCTAATATGTCATTGAACGTCTGCTCTTTGTCTACCTCAGCTGTCCTTATTTTCCCACAGATGAAGTGGTTCAACCTCAGCTTATAACATCACATTATGATTACAAGCTGTTTTTCCTCTCTTTAAATGGACCCATGCGAGGACATCAGGACAAACTGACAGCATTTTGTTGCTTCACAGAGGTAATGAGGTTAGTTGGACTTAAATATGGGCTAAACAGGTCTGCTAACTACCAAATATGAACATGAATAAAATCTGTCAGTTGTAAGATGAAAAGTGTTTTGTGTTAAACATGAGTAGTCCAGCCCTACTTTCAACCTTCAGTGTTGATAAAAGGCAGTAGATGTGACATGACCAACTGTATGAACTGACCTACGTGTCGCAGTGTGAAAGCAGCGATGTGATCTCCGGACTCATGTGACCCACGGCCTTGGCGGCCTCCAGGATGGCTCTCCGATACATCCCTTTCTTCTTCCTGTTGAAGCGGGATCTGAAGAGCTCTCGAAAGGGCGACAATTTGGCGACAGAGAGCTGGGAGGTGGTAGGCGATCCAAACCATGCCACCTTGGCCTGGGGCCACTGGGCCTCACAGCTCGCCGTCTCCTGCTTACGAGTGCCGCTGATGCTGAGGACGCGTGCTGGCCACCAAGGGAAGCCGTGAATCTTCCCCCACACGATGTCCCCCACCGCCACTGCGTGGCCTTCCTCTGTGACACACTTTGTCATGCTGCGGGTGTGAAGCCGCACTGTGAGAGGTGGGACTGTCTTGCACTCGTCCCGTGAAGGAACAGATGATGACGTCACAGACAGGTCCTCACCTGGGGCCAGATCGCACAGCTCTGGGGAGGTGCCGTCAGAGCTGAAGGACTTGGACTCGTCTAAACTGTCACTGCTGCAGACCGACAGACTAGAAGAATCGGCTTTGCGCTTGCGGAAATTAATTAGAAGAGTGAGGTCGCTGTGTCCACGCTCTGCCTCCTCTCCTGAACTCCCTGACCACAACTCTAAAGAGTTCTTTCCCTCCCCTGAGTCCTCAGAGTGGGGTAGACACGGGCCTGGCACCCTGGGGCTCCGCCTCCGTGTGCCCCCAACAAGTTCTGCCTCATACTCCACCACACTCTCCTCTCCCTCCCTTGAAGAAGGTCTCAAGCGGATCTTTGGGGAGGGTAAGTCCTGACCCACTGTTGTGAATGGCCGGGTGAGTTTGAGTTTGGGAATGGACACGGTGAGGCCAGACCTCGTGGCATCTAGAATGTGCCGTTGTTCCTTAGTGGGATCAGACGAGGTTTTGCCGTTTTCTCCTACGCCATTCTGCACCAGCTGTTTGGGACAAAACGGCTTAACTGAGCCGTGAACTCTGGAGGGGATCTTCATTACCTCGCCCTTGCCCTGTGGAGTGCTGTAAGAGATCTTTATGACCGGACTGTGGGGGATAACATCACCACCAGGGAACTTCTCCCCGTCTGCCTCCCCCCGTTTGTCCCTCTTGAGGCGCTTGCTGTCCAGGCTGGTGCCATTTTCTCGTCTCTTGGTGTCTTTTGATGCTACTACATCCTCTTTTCTGGACAGCTTAGCAGGAGTGTCTTTATCATCCCCTTCATCGTCACTCTGTAGTGAATTCTCTTTTCTAGAAGTCTTTGAGTTGTTGCTCATGCCGTCTTTGCTGTCCTCATCACTGTTCAAAGTGTTCTTGCACTTTTCACACAGTACCTGCCGCGGCCGCAGACGGATCGTGCTCATGGTCATGCGGCCAGGCTCTCGTGTTCGCCTCTTCTTTCTCTTGATTGGACGTGGCGGGGGCTGAGGTACCCATTGGCTGTAGCTGTGGCGCACCCATAAGGGCTGAGGGAAGGGGGCTCCTTCAAAATAAGGAGGGTATGGAGTCTGTCCAGCTGGCACTGGTGTGGGGACGGGGCAGGGAGGAGGAGCAGCAGGTACGCCGCTTTCAGGGAGCGTGTTTTCATCCTTTGGTCTGTGTGAAGCCTGGCTGGGAGATTTGGAAACCAGCTCCTCACTCAGGACTTCCGGGATTTCACAAGCCGGTTTAGATTTCAGGCAGTCCTCAGGTTTGACTGTAAACTCTGGTAGACAGAACAGCCCAGTCCTGAGGAAAGAGAAAAACAACAGTAAATTAAAAACTGTTTGTCTCACTGGAGTTTCATTAAAAGTACAAACAACCACATGACTAACATTTCTGAAATTTTCAGTTGAGCAATTTCCTCCAAATAGCGATGCCGTAACATGAAGCTATTATTTCATCATGTCAGATTAAGGCCTGAGGGAAAGCACAAATCAAACCTCATTGTCTCAATTAGAAAAAAAAAAGAGGACAAAAAGCACACAAAGCTGTTGGAGTTCTTATTGGATCATTTTGCTACTTCAGCTGGGCACCACTCCCTGTCACCTGTGTGCTGAAAATTCTTTAGATGTGGGGGTTGGGGGTTTAAAGCAGCCAGCAGGTTATCTGTTCAGCTTGCTTCAGGCCACAAAAATGTGGCTGCAGCATCACAGACTCGATCTGGGTGGTTTTATGTCTTCTTTTTTTCACTCTAGGACCTGCAAACATGTCCAAAGAAGGCCCAAACTGCCAAGGACTCTTTGAGAGGTGGCTGGCAGGCAACAGTAACACGGCTGTGTAGCTTTAGTCAGGAGACAGCAGACAAAGAGACTACAGGATGCCCAGGAACCCCCCCTCCCTGACATCTGACTGAACAAAAACAATCCCATGAATCACTCGGGATTCAGAGATGTAGAGAAGGAGCCAGGAGATTTCAGTTTGTTTTTGCATCCGTGTCTGATCAGGGCTTATGTGTGTGGAGATTATTAATTAGAGCACATTTGGGGAGTCCAATTTCCTCCCCAGGAGGAGCAACTGGCAGGCACCTCTAAATAATAGTCTCCTGGTGCAGCTTGTGCCTCTCACCTTTTTATATGTGCCCTTAAAGCAGCTGAATATCAACCCTTAGTGTGACTGACATGGCACAAACAGGTCTGTGTGTGACAGGGAACAAGCAGTGCTAGTTAAGAACAGCACAAGGACGCAGCAGCCGTTCACTGCACTGGTGCCATTGCACGTTGTGTACAGTGTAACTAGATGCAGAGATACGCCTGAATGATAGGCCTAGACGATGACATTAAAAAAGGACCTGTGGGAGACAATGACAGGAAGTGTTTTTCCATGAGCTGGAAAGGAAGAAGAAGTCAAATTTTGTCAGTGACAAGGCCTGAAATAAAAGCCTATTTCAGGTTATTCCGAGGCCTGCCTTTTCCCATCTGGGTGGGTTATTTTCAGGCCAGCTCTCACATGAAAAACTATCTAAGCATACTAAGGGGCAAAGCTGGTCAGATTCTGATTCTGCTCATCTATAAATAGTCTAAAGCCAGTAGCTTCTAAGGTGCACACAAGGCTTATACATGTGACAGAGCAGCAGGGGCAGATAAGGCATGACACTGATAACATGTTACATTTTATACACATATGTGAGGTTTTATCATTTGAGTTTTCTGGCAGAAGAAGGCCTTTTCTTGTCAGAAACAGAGCCTGGACTTGTCAGTGGATCTGATCAGAAATAGATGCAGGAATAATGCAAAACAACTGCACAACAGTTAGGATTTTACATGTGTTTTTATTGCCATTATCCATTGTTTCAACATATTAGAGATAGCTGCTTATGCAAGGCTTTTCTTATTGTATTTTAGTCCCCTTTAATTGAATCATCTCTCAACAAAACTGACAGACACAAGAGTGCCATATGTGTGTGCAAATACATCAAAACGTGACAAATAAATACACTAATGTCTAGCCAAGGCCTTCTTCTTATAACTGAATACGTTTCAGCTGCTGTGTAGGAGATTAGGCTAACACAATAAGCTATAGATGAACCCACTGACATTACTTATTGTTCAACAAAAGTCATTATCCATCTCTGTGGCCAGTCCATATCTTTATATACAGTCAATGCCCTTCACTTAAATCACGTTTCAATGTAGTACACTTATTTCTGTTTATTCTTACAATAAAATGCCATTAGCAGAAATGCTCGCAGTTAGCTCCCCTGTCAGCTACAATAACCTGGAGGCCCAGTAAGCTAACAGCTAGCCTCGACTTGTTAGCATCTAAGCTGAATTAGCTGTTAGCTACGTTTAGCAAGTTAATTAAAACATAAAAATAATCGACGAAATAAAACTCACTTTTTGTTGCAGTCGAGTAATATCCCCGTGTAGCTCCTCTCTCGGTAGGTCAGCGTCACCACCAGTGTATCGTTAACTATTTGATCGATAGTGACAGGTACCCGAGAGCCGGCCCGCAGCTGCTCGGCCGCAGCCTCCATGTTTCCCGGCGTCAAGTGTCCGGCTCGGCGGTGCTCGATCCCGGCCAAGGGAGCCACGGTCGCGTCGGCCAAAGATCCGTCTCCCTTTCGCTATTAGAGCAGGAGGCTACAGCAGGGCATGAAATGACGCCATCACCCCCACCAAGTCAATTACAACAGGACTGTTAGCGCTGACATCACGCTCTGTGTGTGCTGGAGGAGCAGACGAGGCCTACCTACCCTTCCTCTGCCTCCCTGGGACTGTTTGATGCCATTATTCCACACCGACCTCACCTCCGGGACAACTCTCACAACCAGAAAGAAGGCATAATGGCGTATCATGTTACATTTATGCAACCATTGCATTTGACAACTGACAACATATAGATGAAGAGCTTTTTTGACGGGACAAAACCGTCTGTTGTCAAAATCAACCCGCATGAAATATTATCTGCATTTAAACATTCATCTCAATAATAATCCCCCACAATAATGTGTAAATGCATTATACCTGGATGCACACATCTGAACATACTTTGTCTCATGCTTACATATTTCTCATATAACTCACATTTTCCTCTGATGTATGGTTGTATTATTATAGTATGTGAAAATATACTGTATAAATAATTTTTCAAGAGGTGATCTTTGTCCAATTTGATGAAAAATAATGGTTTTTTTTTCAGGATGACACCCTTGAGACACCACTTTTCTATCAATAGCTTGAAAATGTAAGGCTCAAGTAAAAGGTGTGTCAATAACAGCCTACCTTTTTATATTTTAGAAATGTTATCTCAAACCTCCCAGATAGAGCTTTTGTGTTTGAAGTTTTGTATTGTTTTTAATTTGTCCTATTTTGGTATTTGATTCTGTGTTTTTGAATATTTCCAGTTGAAGTTTTCACTTATCTTTCACCTAAATAAATGTAATTCAACACAGGGATGGCTCCTATGTGCTTTGATCCTACCAAATGATCAATGGATGCAAAAACAATGCCATTTAGTCTATAAAATGAGCACATGACAATGTCAAAAAGTCTGGTGTTACATCTTTATGTTGCCTCTTTGGTCATGGTTCAAATCCAAGATGTCTGGTATTCTACTTAAAGATTTTTGTTTACAGTGAGTTTTGGTTTGTATAAATCAGACACCAAAAATGCTAAATAGGTTACTGTTAAAATGATTACCAGTGCTGCACTGCTAACTCGTACCTTGAGTTTTTGACTTCTAAATTGAGGTTAATTTAAAAAATAACACAATTCAGGGTGATATTGTCCTGCACGAGGGAAAAAAAGAGCAACAAAATGGAAAACCTCAAAATACTTGCGATCCAATAGTCATTTGATCTTTATTTAAAGTTATAAGGATTGCAAGCCCAGAGAATTGACTTAATATCACAAACTCAAAATGAAGTCAGTTGTCAAGGTAACTTGGCCAGTTGTCTCCAGTGAAGATAGTGAAACACTTTCCAAGATTTCTTTCTCTCTTCTCCAGAAGCCGAGTCTGCAACTTCCTCATCTATTGTCAAAAAAAGAAACCAATTCAGATCAATAACCAAAGAGTCAGATATAGATTGGTTGTGTGAATAATGATGAAGAGCTCCTCACCTCCTCCAGATCTTGCTCTGCTGCTGCCATCTGCTCTTTGCTGGTGCCCCTGGGATTCTTGCGTCGCTCCTGCATCGTCTCCACATGGGAACGGATCTGCCGCTCCAGCTTACGGGCAGATCTGGAGGAACACAGAGGTCAAAGTTCAAATTGTAAGAATGCAGAAATACTGAATAAACATATGGTCAGCAGTATCACAATTTAACCGTCTAGTAGGCAAGAGACAAAATGTGTTACTGTGACTGACTGACCTTTAACTTATATGACCAAAGAAGTAAAAACCCAGGTGTTTTATCTAATGTGGTTAATCTGCTTTTGAGCTGAATGGTGCTTTAAAAGAACAAAAGACACTGTTGCTGTTCTGAAGTTGATGTAGTTTTTCTTCATGTCCACAAGGGGTCTCTAGAATTCTATCTGCAGCTGCACAACTGATGATAGCAGCTCCCTGATGTCTTGTTTGGGAAAACTAAAGACCCTTTGTCACCAACCAGGTTTGGATCGGGTGGAATAATCATAATAAAAATTACAATAACTAAGCTCGTTTTTATGGTACTTCATGTCCAAAAGCATCCCGCTTCAAGTGCTTCGCTATCCTCCCAGTACCTTACTTGAAAATAAAAAAAAATAAAAAACATAAATTACAGTTAGAGAAATTGAGTTACTTTCTTGAGGTATACCCTAAACCATAAGCTTTAAGTGAAGTGATGAAGGCTGAACACGTGATGGAACTTTGGAAAAAAAGATACAGATCATTATTGTGCTTTTGGAGGCAAATATTTAACAACAAAGTTAGAAATATAGCTTAGGGCTAGTCCATCAACACCTTTATATGCATGGAGGATGAACCTAAATGTAACAAGAAGCAAGTGCAAAACATTTCATAACAACCTTTACATTGCGGACTTGGGTTCAAACAAAACAACGTGTACCCTTAGATTTAACCTTATACTTTGAATCCTCCAAACAATAATAATAACAACTTATCTTATTATTTATGGACATTTTTACACTCACTGCATATCCATCATAACTGAACTACAGCATGCACATCAGTTTTTACACCCAGTACATCACAGAGAGGAGTAGGAAACAGCATCTTTTCACTTTTCAGTCATTAATAAACAGAAGAAAAAAAAAAGGAAAAATTTCAATTTTGTCATAATTTTTAACTTAATCACATTCACCTGGACTCCTCCTGCTCTGTAATGGTCATGCTGGGAGTCTGAGTATGAAGAGAGTCTTCCACATCAGCTTTTAAATTTGTGTCTGCTTCCTGAAACAGAGATCAGAGTGGAAAAGCAGCTTTCCTGAGTTTGAAGTCAATCTATCTATATATGATGATCCGGCTGTTTGAAAAACACCTTACGAACCAACTACAGCTGATGCTCCAACCTGACAAATGACCTCATCTGTGTTAATCACATCTCAGGCTAAATTCAGACTAATGATACAAACAGTATCAGCTGAAGAGTATCTGCCCCATAACCGTCATGCAGACTCCAGCCTGGACTGTAATGTGTTATTACTGTGTGATCACTGATGCAGCACGCACCATCTGTTACCACCTGAGTAGACTCCGAGAAACATCAAACCTTCATTTTGCAGTAATTCCAGTATAACGGTCATCAAACCAGTACAAAACTGGTGTTGCTCTACTGCCCCCCTGTGGTTGGCAGGTTGACAGGTGCAAAGAGGGTGATTTATTCTGAACATACCTCTTGATTCCACCATTTTTCTTGTTTTTTTGGCTTAGGCTGTGAACGCCATGCTCGAAGAGCCTCCTGGCTTCTAAAGTAGACCAGAATACAGCGTGTTAATTATATGTCAGGGAAAATGGTCCTGGGCTTCTGTTTCTAAATGTTATCAATGGGGACAACATGCACAGATTACTCTTTGTGTCATTAGGCTGTGAGCATTATAATGATCCCTAACCCTAAACCCAGCTTTGTGACAGAACATTTTTATTAATTTTGCATTTATATATTTGATGATGATGATTTTTTAAAACTAGAGACAGCTGCTAAATCACTGTCTTAACAACCACCAAACCCCACTGACATCCAGGTTACCACCACAGAATCATATTATTTTTTGTTTATTTGTGTTATTTTGACACATAAGTGTTGTGTCGGTTCCAGTGTGAAACAAAACCAAAGTGACAGACTGCTGTGAACGAACAAACCAAGTGAAGCAGCACCTTCTGTTTGCTATGAGATAAAAATGTCATTTTTGTCAATGGAGTCTGGTGTTTTTATGATGAATCAGTTGCCGTTTCCAGTTTCATAAAAAGTACTTCAACCCCGTCAAACAGATCTATCTTGAATCCTCTCTGTAATACTCACATAACCTTTATCCTGTGTTAGCTTTTACTACGCACCCACCATGTTAAGGGTCGGTTCTGACCTGTGTCTTAACTCAGCTGTAAATTACACTAAAAAGAATTCTCTATCATCCAATTTGGTTGTCATCTGTGCAGAGAAAAACATGGAAAAATGAGAATTTCCTAAATTTCACATGATTGGAAGAGGATCTGACTGTCAGTGTTGTGCCTGACAGTGCACACATGATTTTAGTTTTTGCTCTAATTATTAGATATTGATCTAACGGGGTCAACAGCGACCCTAACAGGACACATGCCATAATTTTAAAAAGAGCATTTTATAATTTAGTCAAATTTTTTATTTATTTTTTTTAAATTTCTTGAAATAGAGACTCCTGACAAAGTCAAAAAGTCTTGATGCAAAAAAAGCTAATTGAAGTGGTTCTTTTAAGAAAATCAAAAACGGGTCGGTGCAGATCCGAACACAGCAGGAGGGTTAAACTCACAATTACAATCTGAACAGTCAGTGACAAAAAAACTAGATTTTTTTCTGGGGATGTACTTTGTATAAGCCAGGTGTTACAACCTGTTTCATGGCTGAAGACACTTAGTGAACCAGTTCCAAAACTTTCTGTATGGGTGGGTAAATACTTGATTAAAAAAAAATGATTTAATTCTTTGGATGTAGGACACTAGCATAGTAAATGGCATCTTGATCATATTGGGCTCAAGCTGTAGTCAATAAGGACTCACTTTCTTCTCTGCTCGAGCACAGCTTGTTTCTCCTTCATCGCAGCCTGTCTCCTCTCCTCGGGTCTCTTCCATTGCTGAGTGTCAAACAACCTCAGCTCTGGGATTATGCCGGCTTTGCTGGTCTCTTTTTTCCTAGCGAATAAATTGAAACAAAATGCTTTATTTTTATTGCGCTCCAGAGCTCTGAGTCCCAGTGGAGACAGCGGGGGAGATTTCTATCACTGTCTTCTCTGCAGAGAATGTCATTAAAAAGATTTTTTCTGTTCTCTTTATGGGCAGTTTGGCAAAACTCCTAACCTCAGCACTGAAGTTATCTACAGAACAAAAAGAGCTTGCCTCTTCTGTTAGGAAGCCAATAACACTTTCAAACTTTGTTACACAGAGTGTAAAGAGAGTTGATAAATAGTTTTTGGTTTACAGGTATTAGCTGCTAGGAAATGAAAGATGTTGAAAACAATAAAACAACGATTTTGTCGAACTGAGCTCAATGAAAAGGAAGAAATGTACATTATTTAAGACTTTTTTTTAATGAACAAAGAAACAGATTACCTCCCTTCTAGGATATTATGAGACCTGTTGTCAAATCTGGTGTCTGAATTGTGCTACTATATACTGTAGCTCAAGCCAGCAGCATAAAGACTAAAAACTGCAAGCACTACCTCCAATGGGTGACAATCTCCACCCAGCAGCTCCCCTGAAGCTCACTTGATAACTTCACTTCTTCAATCTTTCAAAAATGGGAGTGTAAAAATGACAATAACTATTTTTCATCCAGCACCAGTTGCCAGGTAACCAGCACAGATCCCAGGAATTTCCCAGCCAAGAAATGGTTTGGCACTCAACACCAATCAAAATGTTTTTGTGTGTCTGTGTGTTTGTGTGTGTGTGGACTAAATAGAGAGGAAATAATTAATTTAATTTATGTGGGAGCAGTATTGCTGACAGTGTCAGGTAGGCTGTTTACTGGTTTCAGTTTTTTTTTATCTTAAGCCATGTTTGGCATTGCATAGCTACACAGGTGGGAAGTGACAAAAATTGACTTAAAGCCCACATGAGATTTGAACAGGTCATGAAATAGACTGAAATGAATATTGATGTTTTGTTTTGACTTACAAGAGCAAAGACGACCAAAAGTAACAAGAGTGGGGATTTCTCTTCAGCACTTCTTGATGCGTGAAAATACTGAAAGGGGGCTGGTGTCAGACTGTAAGATTGCCAGCACTCTGAACAAACAACCTTCTATTCCCAATGTCAGCAGCAAAAAGTCACTATTTTAAAGGAGCAGGATGATTTTTTTTGTGTCAGGAAAAAAAGAACTAGTAAGAAAAAACTAAAGGATGCACATCTTTGACAAGAGAGGGCGCCAAAACCAACATAAACTAGAAGTTCTTTACAGGAGCTTCCAGGAATCTGTTCTGTGCTTCAGTGTCTATTTTTCTGTTCCTTTTATTGTTTCATATCCTATTCTTCCCACAAGTATCTGTAGGTACTCTACCTTTCATTTTCAAGTATGCTCTTTTCTGTGCTTTTTGTAGATAAGAGATTAATCACTTTTTATTATGCCCCATCATGCACACCCCTTCAATTATCAGGACTGATGAAGATACCTCTTTTACACAACAACACAAGAGAGACACTACATTTAAACAAGGACACAGTAGATGTCTAAAGACACACAGACACTGAGGTATGGAGAAAATGATGTCTGTGAGAACTTGGAGATCAATGGATGAAAGCCAAGCCGCCAATATGGCTGATGACCAACTGCAGATTCAGCAAGACACTCCTCAACCAACTAATTTGCAGGCGGAAGTTAATGTTTCATACAACAAAGTTGTTGTTTGATTTGAATATTATTATCATAAAACTGATATTATCATATCAATTTAATAATCTAAAAATATGAGGTCAGTTTCAGCTGGTAGAAATATCCTTCAGATTGAGAGTTTATATTTTCGTATTGTGAGGATATTTTAGATAGATTTACGGACGGACGGACGGATGAACAGACAGACAGACAGACAGACAGACAGACAGACAGACAGACAGATAGATAGATAGATAGATAGATAGATAGATAGATAGATAGATAGATAGATAGATAGATAGATACTTTATTAATACCAGAGGGAAATTCAAAAAGCATTGAACTTGAAGAGTACAGAAGAGAAGAAGATAGATCTCTACTTCTGCAGCCTTCTTTGAAAAAAATGTTTTTTTAACCTCTATTTTAATAAACAATATGGTAACTCTTAATTCCTCTGCCTGGCTGTAGCTTCATATTTAATCCGCAGATACAAGACTGTTATTAACCTCCTCCATTAACTTTTGAGAAAAGAGCAAAAGTTATGTCATACAACTGGATCAAGTAAGAGTTTCCTCCTTTTTTTCTCTATTATCTTACCTCTTGACCACAGGAAGAGGATGTGACTTCTTGTCTCTTTGTGCAATAGATCCAAGTTCAGCTTTGTCCAGCTGGATCATTTTATTTTTGAGCTCTCTGAATCTCTGCAGCTCGTCCTCATCCACAGTTTCTTCCTGCTCCTCCACACTCGACCCCCTCAACTCTGATAGCTGGAGCTTCTCCATCACTGGCAGCTCTATCAATGGAACAACCGCAAGAGTAATAGTGAGATTTATTAAGATATGAAAGAAGGCAGGTCTCAAACTAGTGTGTGGCCTACAGCTACAGTGGTAGAGGAGAGTAAGAGCAACTAGTTGATTTTTAAAAATCACTCTATGAAAGTATTTGAAGCTATTACACTATGTTTAGAACTGTTCTGATACGGATACCAGTTCAAGAAATGCCTCCAATGCAGCCTCAAATGTGGAATGCACTGATTATTCATGTTAGCTCGTTAGCTAAAGAAAAATATTCAACCAAAATCAATAAGTTTTCCTGCTCTTACTCAGCCTTCTGCAAAACCAGTTGCAATTTTCAGCCACCATTTCTGTTAAGTACCTGCCACAGTCAGCTGTTGTATCAGGGCAGCAAAGACAAAGTCATTTAAGGTCATTATGTATGAAGTGAGAATAAGGAAAAACAACAGAAAGATACGAGCAGAAATTTGTATTTAAGAAGATTCACACAACATCTTTCTAAGCCAAGAGTAGCTGGTTGTCTTTTCCTACTTTCTTATAAATGTCTTTACCATGTGATGTCTTTCATCAAGGTTAAAGAAAAGTAGTTTCTTTAATGATATTAGAAAACTTTCTCCGTTCAGAACTCTTTGTGTTTCCAAACTTGTTTATGTTCTGTTTCGGTTTCCAGTGACAGTCAAACTACGCAATTAAAGAAGGTTCTGTGGTATCCACTCTCTGTCTGTGTTTATCTATGTGTTACAAAGAGTTTAATCTGGGCAAAGACCCTTCAATGATAACACTAATTATATCACATCCACACAGGAGAAGCAAGAAATTGTTTTTCTCCTTTTCAAGTGAAACTATGCGGCGTTATCAGATCAGCATTTGGCTTTTTTCACATCCTACCATCAGTTTGGTATCAGGAAAGAAAAACGTAACATCTTTGAGCATCTTACCTCTCCTTTCATACATTACATGAGAACATGTTTGACATTCACAAAGTAGATCAAATTGCAGAGTAGTTTCCTGCAACCTTGAGATTTTATGTAAATTAGAGTCTGAATGTTAATTTCTCCCTATGTGAAGGATGATTACACTAAAACTCAACCTTATCGCAGCTTAAAGAGGGAGACGACACCGCAGTCTGCAAATGACTGGTGTATGTTTAAGAACTTATTCTCTGAGCCAATTAAATGAAAGGAGATTTCCCCCCTGGAGACCAGAGTCTCATCTTTCTTGATAACCTTGTGTGTGGGGAGATAAACGACGTGATTGAGGGGTTTGATCAGCTGGTTGTGCAGCAGCAGCCTCTCCTGAGGGGGGCCGTATTGGGCTTCTCACAGTTATTACCTTCAGACAGAGCTCAGAGACACAGAGCTCCTGTTCAGAGCCCACAGGTTATCGATCATTTTCATCTGGCTAAAAATATTCCAGGAAGGAGGGTTGGGGGGGCATAGTCAGCTGAGTGTCACGCGCCGTCTCCAAGGCAACAGAAGTCACACCAGTGAAGTGGTACCAGGGCAAGGAGCTATTTTTGTGACCAGCATGTCCTCGCTTTGACAAAAAGAGCAGATGGCTGGGGTGCACGTGCATACTGAACACCTCGCTGCTGCACTATTCAAAGTTAAGGTGCCTTTGACTTACCTGGAGAGGTCTTCATCACACTGACTGGACGCTTAGCCAGAGCAGTCCTGAGGTACTGCAGGATGCTGTGGACCCCCTGGTTTATGATTTCCTGCGGGGGGTAAGTGATAGGGCAATTCCTCAAGTTCAGGCCTTCTAGAGTGGGCACATTACCTGAAGAAAAATAAATCATAGATGTAGAATTGATTAAAATGTGTTCACAGGTCACAGTTTGGCATTTAGAAAACACAATTATCCAGATAAATTTATAATGAGCACATAGGAGAAAGTGTCTTAGAAACTGTCCGTTCTTTTACTATCCACCTTCAGGGTTACCCCAGCAATAAAACCTGGGCCCTTTTTATGGAATATTTTTGTGCATTCCTTTATTAAAACACCAACCAAAATGTACTGTTACAGCTGCAATATAATCCTCAGGGCAAAATGCACCCAACTAAATAGCATTCATAAAGACAATGATCTTTTGAAGCTTTGGTTTTGCTCAGCAGTTTGACGACATGACTTTTGTAGAGGCTATAGTCCTTGAAGCCCTGGTCCCTTGCTGTTGTCCTATCTCCTGAAAAACAGGAATCAGACTGAAATAGTCTTTTAAAAAGAGAAAGAGTCTAAACACAGCTAAACTTCTTTTTTTGACCTGAAACAGTTGTTACATGTCTCTTTTCAAAGCCACCAAACTCCAAAGAAAAACACACTTTTCCCTCTTGCAACACTAGAGGTGCTGATCCCTCAACACTAAACTGAATCATGCAGTTTCTATGGTCCAAAAATGGAAAAAAAATATGAGTGTTATTTTCTATGTCTTCGAATCGGACACATAAAGCAAAAGACAACAATTTGACCGATTGAGGCAGTGGCAGATTAACAACTCCCATGTTCTGTGTAGCTGAAATGATTGTCTGTTTTTTGTTGACGGAGTCTGCTGACTTTGAGCAGTGAGATAAAACAGACATTTCTCAAAATATGGAGCCTTTTTGTTATTTTGTTACACTTGAAATAACAATCCATGCATGTCAGAGGAAATAACCATAACTTTTAGCTGAGTAGTTGAGTGTCTTCTCCACCAAGAACTATTTTGCAGACTTCACTGCAGCTATCTGAAGCAACTTATTTGACTAACTAAAACTTGCTAACCATCTTCTCAATTTCTACTAACTATCTGGTAAGACCCTCAAATATTTCAAATAGGTTTTAAAGAGGTGGTAATAAGGTTTTTGAACATGAGTGCTGGGTCTGAGAGTGTACAAACTGTTGAAACTGTTGGAAATAGAGTTTACATTTAGACCTTCTATAGCGTTTGGGTCAGACTGACTTATTTTGGGGTAGAGTTGACCCTGTCTGCAGCAAAGGCGTCGAGCTGATGAGGATCCCCTGTGGTTAATACACTTACTATTGATAAATACCACTAACTATCTTAATGTTTACAGCTGAGAGTAAATCACACAATAAAGCTACTTATTAACTCCAAATTAAACTCCTAGTTCATAGTTGTCAGTGGAAATACTCTCCTTTACCTGCCAGTGAGGCTGACTGAAACTCATAAAACACACAGACTCTCTTATCACAAAGAACAGAAACACTGGCTGCAGATAAAGATGAACTCAACTCACCCAACTCTTCTGGCAGTTCTGAGATGGGATTTCCTTCAAGAAGTAAAGTCTTCAGACATCTAAAGGAAAAAAAAATAAATCGCAGAATATTAGATAATTTCGGAATTGATTCTGACCAGGTTTTAAGCTGAGACCGGAGAAATCTTCATTGAACAAAATATGCTCTAATCAAAAAGAATATCATTCTGGTACTTTTGGAAAGTATTCATTTAGTTTTGCACTCAAAAAGAACTCTGCGATACCAAAATCCCTATCTAAAATGTTCTCCAATGTGACATTTCAAAGAATGAACATACTGTACTCCTGTAGTGGCTGAGGGGCTTGGAATCAATCAGCATAAATTTCAAAGAGCAGTTGCATAAGAAAGGTACCTGTGCAAGCCAATTTCAGCAGGGAGTGTTTCAATTTGGTTATTCCTGAGATCCAACCACAGCAGGTTGGGAAGGCTGATGAAGAATGATTCTGGGATGCTTGTTATCTGGTTCCCTTCGAGGTATAAACACTGACAATGACAGAATTAGAGTTAGGACTATTCAGTAATGCATTGGAATTGATAATTCTGACATTTAAGAGGTTTGCTTAAAAGCTTGCAAAACACAGCATCCATTGCTTGGTGGGCAGAGGTTGATAAATGTAAAGCGAAGTCCAAACTGACCTTTACAGAGCTACTTTTCAAAATACTGTCTGTGACATGTTTCAGATTAGTTCTTCTCAGACACAGCATATCTGTTGAATAATATTCAGGGAGATCAAGGGGCCCGCTATCCTCACGCTGAGTGTCTTTGGATTTGGTCTTTGGTTTGATAAAGGTGTTCCCAAAGACAAAGTTCGGCTGTAGATCAGGGATCTCCTCATCCTCCCTCTCTCCTTTGGGTGAGGTCATTGTAGATGTGGTGCTGAGTTGTTTAGTGCACTGGGAGCAATGCAGACAGAGTTGTTACTGTGGCTGTTAGCACTTTTAATTCTCGCCTGTGATCTGAAAATGGCAAAAAATTCACATTAACCTGACATTCAAGGGTTAAGGATATTCAAGGGACAAGTCATGATTTTGAAGATTGATAGATGCATATATTGTAAATAGTTCCAAACTGGGGGATAAATTTTTGTTCCCCAAAGGGAACAGAAAACTAATCGATACAATGCACTTTAAACAGCAGCAGAATAAAGCAGATTTTGATTATTTAAAACTGATATCCAGAAATAATGCAAAGAAAGATTAAGACCTCGGACTGTTGAGCAGTTTATGTCCTGTATCAGGTCAGAATCAGCAGTTCCTACTTCTTGCATCAAATACTAGTAAACATCTTATCTATTTTTTAACAATAAGGCTTAATCGTTAACTAACTTAGAAAACATTGGTGAGCATGGGCGACTATCATTCAACTTCCCCCTGTACTCACCTGTAATTCTGTAAATATACTCTTGCTCTGGTTTTAATGTCAAATATAAGTCATAGGCTAAACATGAGGGGAAGAATAAGAGAAAAATGTTCCCCCAACTTTTCGCTGCCGCCTCATGAGTTTGATGTTGTGCCCATAGCAACGAGATCAACACTACGGCAACTATGAACGTACAAACAAGGTAAACTACGACTTTTGTTCATCCTAAACAATTTTTTCCCCTTTAATTATCATTGCATTATCATGCGCTGTTCATAACATATATTACAGCAGCAACAGCAGCAGGCACCGCTGTTCAAGTATGAAAGCGTTAAATCCCCGTTTCCCCCTCAGTGATCCCGGCACCGCCCGCCCATCCTCTGATGAGACTGTGAACCGGATCACTGAGGTTCATTTTTGGCTGCAACACAGCAGCGAGTTTCTGTCGGTGCGGGACGATGAAAAGAAACTTCATTCCGCACTCATCTATCCCGGCTTCACCTGTAGAGAGGCTGCCTGCCCCTCGTGTGTTGGTATGCATGACAGCCTGCAAAGACGGAGCTACGTCGGCTACAGTCACTGGCCAGCAACTGTCACACTACTCTCACATGTGTCAATAAAAAAGAACGCTTAGGGGGGACTTCCGGTTATTAGTTTCAAAATAAAAGTCTGCCAAAAGGTGTGTGAAAGACAAACTACGAGTCACAACAATCTAATCTAATCTAATCTAATCTAATCTAATCTAATCTGATCTAATATAATATAATATAATATAATATAATATAATATAATATAATATAATATAATATCTGAGAAATTGGTGAGTTGGATTAAAAATTCTCCAAATAAGTTCCAAATAACATCACTATCATAAAGTGATTTATTAAAAGAAAATCTGTCTGCCTTTTGCATTTAAGTGTTTGAGAGATATTTTTGGACAGTGTTTTACATATGCAGTTTCATGGATGGAGTCAAGACATATTCAGATTTAGAGTGTAACCATTCCATTTACACTTGTTGAAACTGGTCTCAAGTATTTTTCCTTTTACTCTCTCTTTTTTTTTTTTAATTTCAGTTTTTTCTTGCATACAAGAAAAGTAGAAGCTGACTTGTAACCAAAGTGAAGTTAAATTTATTTAGCATTTATACTAATGCGCTTAAAGTCTTAATCTTTTCAATAGGATGTCAAGTTTCTTCCACTTTTATCAACATTTGGCGTAGTATTGAACTGACTTCAATACACAGTTTAAGAGTAGCTATGCTTAAGTCCAGAAACCAAAGAGAAATCAAACGTAGCTTGTAAAATGCTTGTCTGCAATGATTGCGCTATTACCTATCTAATAGGAAAAATCTTTAAACACCAACATCAAACATCTTTTTACATAAGAGTTGCCACCATTTAAAGTGTGTTTTCCAGTCGCTGCGTTTTTATGCTGCATGCTCTTCAGCAATAAATTCATTCTGTCCATTTTTAAAACCTGTCTAAAAACCCACTTTATTCCTTGGCTTTTGACCCAGCATGAGACGACATTTGTTTTATTGCTTTTTTAATTACTTTTTATCATATTTTAAAACTACTATTTATTGTTGTTTTATGTTTTTGTGTTATTATATACAGCCTTTTGTGTCAGTTTTGGTTGTATTTTAAGTGCTCTAGTTGAGAATAAGTTTAAGGCTTTTATTTTTGCAGCGTATTTGCCAAACTTCCTGTTTTCTCCCAGCTGATAGCGTGTAGCTTAACACAGCTCTGACTCTCAGCCCTACAAATATAAGTCTCTCTGTTTGGCTGACAGGCTACGGAAGACAACTGAACACCAGCGATACCGAGTGATCCTATTTACGTCCAGTTGCAACAAACCGAGCTGCATCCAACTTAGTTTCTTTCCGCTTTTGTTCTCCAAATGGCTTAGATAGAGTCTCGCGTTTTTAGCAGAGTAAATACCGGATGAAAAAAAGCGGAATATCGGACACAGTTCGGATGAAATGTATTATGATTTCTGTCTTTTGAAGAGGGTGTCCAACACAGAGCTGTAGTTTCTCTTCAAGAGGCGAGGAATGCAATCTGAGCATCAATGTTTCATTGGGGCAAGTGGAAGAAGAGGATGGGAGCCAATAGTTCTTCAAAGAGACCTGTGTTTGACGAGAAGGAGGATGGTAAGTCCCCACCAAACCACATGCACAAATTACACTTCTTTAGAAGTTGTAGCTGAGAGTTTGAACTGTGTTGTGCCTCAGTTTGTATCTGAATTACTAGTCTCAGGTGAACACTAGCCTGTTGGCTGTAATATTGACATGCTTTCAAAGGATGTTGTCAAAGTTTCTGCAGACAAATTGTGAATTTTGTTGACTAAACAAAAACAAAAAAAAACACTGTTGCTTTCTGCTTTTGTAGCTTGAAGTGTTCTTATACTGACAGTTTAATAATGCAGACTTCATGATGAAAAAAGAGCAGTTTAAACATGACACCTACATTTATTTTTTCCAAATACGCCCCTTTATAGAAGCAGTTCTCACAGTGCAGAATTACCACTCATTCACTCTCATACCCAGCACAGATATCTGCCCCTCCTTCTGTGAGGAAAAAGAAAAAAAAACCTCAATACCCCAGTGAACCCATTGAAATGTGAAAGTATTTGAAGGCAGATATTTAATTGCATAATTAGAGCAAGATTAGTGTCACGCATGGAAGTAATGTTAATTCATGATATCTTGTCAGTGTTTGGGGTATAAGCCTCTTGGAAGCGCGCACATTGAGCTCCACGGTAGACTACAGAGCTATCATCAATGTGCCGGCCAAGTTACAAGCAAAACTTGTGCACAAATCGAGGTCATTTCACTGCAGGGAAGTGGTCATCTGACTCCACCCTCCACCTCCTCAATGCATGAGTGTTCAGTTCATGTTACTGCATACAAGTTCAAGCAATAAAGGGTAATTCTGTGTTTTTTCCAGTTTTGTTTTCTGCTTGTTTTTTGCCGCTGACAGAGGCTCAAATTTTTATTTGAAGTATGACAGATCCGTACAGAAAAAAAGCTTGTTTTGTTTTGAAAAAAGAATATAACCAGATTCTGTCTACTAGAAGAAAATAATTTCAGCTTGCAGAACTCTTCAATTGTGTGTTTTATTGCTCCGTAAATGTTCGCTTGCAAGATCTCTTTGGATCTTAAGTCACCATTTATCATCATGAACACATAACATAACAAAAAAAAGTGGTTAAGGCAGCAGTCGACCAGCAACTCAACAATGTAGTTGATTTCTGACATGAAAAAAATCATTCTACCCTTTCATATTGCATGAGTAGCCCCTGTATTGTCAAGGTCTGTATGTTAGAAGCACATTAAAAAGCTTGATTTAGTAGACGTGCAGTTTTGTAACCCGCTGCCTCTTGAACTCTTTCAATCTATCTCATGTAGTGAGTCAGAGTGAATGACAATCAGGGCCACGACCTGGTGGCACAGGACCTACAAACAATAAATTTAACATGTTTCATCCTTTTCTTTGCCCTCTTTTGTCATGTTGTTGACTGATGAGGGCACAGAGCGCTCTGCATCTGCAAAAGTCAGGAGCATAAGCAAACAAAGCAGAGGATGAAAGATGAGGTTAGTGCTGCAGTGGAACTCTCTCTTTTCAGGTTAGAGATATTGCTGCTGTGTATTCTTGTGTTCAGGTATGCTCCTGCTTGTGTTTATGTATGACACCTCCCAAAGACTCTGCAGGGGGGCTCAGGCATCGTGCAACAACTGGACTGATTTGAGGGGTGTGAACAAGAGAGATGATAGAACTCACAAAGCTTACTGTTCTGTTAATTCTTGTTTCTGGTGAGCTGATAGGAGACAAACTCCTGAGAGAGCTCAAGCGACTCATGACCTGTGGACAGAGCACACCATCAGCACTTCCCCTTCTCCGATTTACCAGGATTTTCCTCAGGACTCAGATGTTACAATCCTAGATTTGTTGACCGGCATGTTTGTTGCTGTATAGGTAATGACACATCAGACAGATGTGAATCAGTGCAGACTTGGTTATCAGTCTGTCTTTTAAAAAGGAATTCTGCCATCATTGTTACCCTTGCTGCTGTGCTGGCAGTCACACCCCCTCTGTCTCTTTTCTATCCCTGCAGATCATGTGCATACTGCGCCTTGCATCCATGTAGTGCTGATTTTTGAGGATGTGCATGACCTTTACACCAAGTCAGTGCTAAAGATGGGTGGCAGCCATCGTGTTTTTGCATGGGGGTCGTTAACAGCAAATATATCTATGTCCTTAGGCTTATCAGACTCTAATGGTTCACCGATATCAGCTTTTCAACGGCGATGCTGATACTGATAATGGGAGAGAAGGTTGGCTGATGGCCACATAGATTGTATATTGTATTTGTAGCTTTTTTCCCAATATAACATTCAAATGAGAAACAATGTTGCTGGACTCAAATAAATGTTTTGTGAAACAAATATAGACAAGGGACTTTTGCATATCCATCCAGCTGTTCAAAATCGGTAAGAAAGAAAAAAGCACATAAGGTGTGTGTGTGTACATATATCAGACAGCATTGTTTGTTTACAGCCCTCTTGTTGGGTGTGGTCTAGCCCAGCCCTTCTTGCTTCCAACATCACCATGTTAGTTGTGATGATATCACTTGTGTATTCAGTCATGTTTGTTGGTCAATTCATGGTGCAAATTTATAGCTCCAAAACGGTTGTGTGGTCCAACCCCAACGTGAATGTCCTTTCTGTAATATTGTCAGACAAACAAAACAAAACAATACGGCGGATACTTACTAACGTGCAGGCATTACGTTGCAGTTGAGGGAACCTACCAGAGCCATTTAAAAATATTTTACTTTTTAACATATTAAGCTCCCCAAATCTAAATTATGGGGCCAACAGTAAAAAGATAAGTTTGAAGCTTTTGGTTTATTGCCTAAAACCTCCAAGAAAGGTGAGCAGCTGTGTTTCAAAATTGCCATCAAGGGGAGCAGCTACTGAAGCAGGAGTGGCCCTACAGACCCCTTAAGTGGTTCTGTGCTCTCGCTCCTGCAGCGGATGATCATGATGGTTAATGTATTAAGGTTCAGAGAGATGTTTCCGTGGCCGGCCTGTTCACAGTTCAGTCTCTATAGCAGCTCTGTGTGATTAAAGGAGAAGCCTTGAGCTCAGGGCTGAACCTCTCAAGGCTGGGATGATGTTTCTCAGAGAGCATCTATCCCTGTTATTATCAGACAGAAGTCAGTGTTGATACCCTTCATCATTGATATGAGGCAGGTTCCACTTACAGATGACCCACTAAACACTAATGACTGCTGTGAGTCAATTTCCACTTGCTGTGTCAGGAGTCAGAGTGGTTGCATCCACAGCGGCATCATGATGATCATTACCTCTATCATGGTGCACAGATGCACAGGGCAAAAGAGTACCTTTGATTTTATTTAAGTGTGTCTGCTGAAAGGATGGAGCGCCTCTCTATGCAGCCGCAAAACACCTCTCTGACTCTGGAACTGAGGAAAATAAGAGGAGGAAATCTGCATTCAAAGACGGCAAAATACCCTGGCTCAGTTTTTGCTTCCTTTTAATTCTTCGATATTTAGAGGTCTAAAAATGTCAGAACTACCTC